AAAACCTGCCTAGGCCTTAGATGGGATGTAGATGATTCTGTAGAGCGGATGCTGACGAATGATGCCTCCGATTTTGCATTTCGCTTGTCTCTGGTGCCTTGCCTTTTATCATCAGGGCTTGGTTTACATGTCTCATGTCTATTTTTATGTTATTTTACTGGAAATGCTTTAATGGACAAACTTCTTAATTCTCGCAGCAGCAGACGCATAGCTTTACACCTTTAATGGGGAGATAAGACCCATTTTCCTTCTATCTTGTCTCACTATACCAAGCAATAAGTTCTATCTATTGTGTCCAAAAATCGTGCTTAATGTCAGCGGTAATTTAATGCTAAGTCATACCAAAGTGGATCGTTCATTAATGACCATTATACAGCGTCGAGGTAACCGGATTTTTATGACAGAAAACGGTAACGATGACAGTTCAAACATTAGCTGCAACTCTATACCCAATAAAATAATATCACACCTTGGCTTATACTAGTATCTATAAGAGTTTGCTACCGCATAGTTTTCCAGGGTACATAACCAATGAAAAATTCCTTAAACTTTTCATAATCAAGCGAAGTTTACGTTTTAATAAGAACTGCATTCATCCCCCACAATGATATGAATAGATTTGAAGATCCCAGATAATTTCATTTATGAACCAGGCAGTACTGCAAGTTCGAACTTGCCCGGGATTCGTCAACATCCCCAAGAGGATTTTTGCTCTTTATGTGGCGACACTTTACCCATCGACCACATGGCCATGGGTGCCTGTGGTTGACAGGACAGAGGAAACGTTCAAGGCAAGCATGCGCTCTCTCTTATAACATTTTATAGTGAGCTTTTCACTAAGGCAATTTTTTTTGCACTTCAATCGACCACGCTACTTGCATTCATAGAGAGTAGGTAGATCTTAAATAATTATAGGATATTTCAATTATCAGGTTTTCTTCATCATTTGTAGACTGGATTGATCACATTTCTCATTCATGAACAGTCTATTTCATGACCAGAAATAAGTCTATGCTGGACTTTTTTTTACTAACCATTACAATGGTGGCTAAAGTGTGTTCTGGCAGAGCATAGTCTTTGTTAAAATTAGAAATTGATACTTGATTCGACTGGGTACGACTAATGAAGAAGAGGAAGTCTACTTCCCACTCTACCTCCTCCTCATTTTCCTGGCCTCTAACCTCTTAATTTCATGACATGACTGGCCAAAATTCGTCTACGTTTTTTGATCTCCATAAGACCGGAGATAATGTCAATCACACGGTTCGAAATTGAATGAGCCCTTGACGAAGTAAATCCCCTAATCATGCATTCCTTCAGAGTGGACTGGAACTGCTGACATGTATGAATTGGAGAGCATGGAAATGAAAGGGGTCATAAAAATCCTATCGGTATAATGTAAACATGCTCAATTAGATAAATATTGTTCGTTTCTAACTAGGGTTTCGAGGCTACCAGTCCTTTCATATTAGAGAAATATTGCCACTTTTCACAAGCTGCTTTTCAACTCACGAGATTCCAATATTGGATGCGGTCTTTCCACCTGAGACAAAGACGCCTTGAAAGTATGAATCACTGTCACAAGCTAAAATTGCCTCAGGGCAACCGCTCCCAATCGGTAGCAGTGAATAGGCTGGCTATAGAAAGCGGAAGTTAGAGGTGAAAATAAAGAGTCCCACATCGTGTTGGCTAACAGACGAACACTTCGGTGGTTTGAGGGATGGGCTGGACGACAAGGGAACCATTGCGAGAAGAACAAAGCTAAAAATGTTGGCGAGAAATGCATGAATTCGTTACATATCACCTAACCCTGAGGCGGATATTGGTGTAAGGAAGCATTAAACACAATTCCGAAGACAACATCGCTCAATGACAGCCAGTTGAGAATAAAGTGTACCATAGAGAGAGGAATAGATATCACGCCACACTCACGGTTCTGGGGACAGTAAAGCTGATTGGCTGATGGCATCTGAGGCGAAAGATCTTGTCTTGTTTCCTACAAAATAACGAGATATGACTTTTATGTGGCCGAAAAATGTCAAGACGAATAGCTATTTAGACCACTTAATTTTTGAGAGATGAAGAGATTCGAAGCTCGATCCCATCACAAGACGACGGTGTATTTATCTTGGCAAAATATCGTATGGCTTTACTGAAACGTTTTGTTTGTTGTTATCCCCGAGGAAATATTCTTCGTCTCTCATGCCCCTCTACAGAAATCCTCAGCCGAGGACTCCATCCTTACAACTAGTTAAAGCAAATAAATCGTGAAAACGCACGGAATTCTACTTACATGACGTTGATATACCTTAAGCCTATGCATTTCTGTGAGGTTTAGAGTGATTTGGCTAGTTCATGGTATATGGTTATCTAGAAATATGTACATGTGCACGCTTGCGTGTGTGTATGTGGGTTTATGTGTACTTAAATGTGCTGGACGAGCAGCGATATTTTTAAGTATTCATAACATAGTGTTACCATCGTGCTTCGTCATCAAGGTTTAATGGCTAGTTTATTAACCATAACTTCGATTCGTATTTTTATCATCTTTATTTTGACGATACGAAAAGTAGGAAATATTAGTTAATTTTTAAAACTGCATATTTCATAAAATGGATTGCCAATTTCTGCCAACAGGCAATCGGATCAGACTCTGAGTGGCCTGATTAAG